GAGACTGAACGAACCCCCGTCGGTCTGACTTTTGGCGCGGGAGCAACAGGAGGAAAAGCAGCCAAGATGGGGCCGCCCGTCCTCCCACCTTCTCTTCGTCAGGGTCTTGGACTCCCAGTCTTCCGAGTTTCCTCCTTCTCCTCGTCTTCTTCTTCTTCTTCTTCTTCTTCGTATCGTTTCTTCACTCAAATGGAAAAGCGAAAACACGGTCCTGACATTTTAAACTAAAATATTTTTTAACCAATTTATACAAACAACTACTTAATAGGAAAGAAAAGCCTTTAACGGTCGAAGCTGGACCTTAAATTCTTAAATAACTCGATACCACATATATCATGAAAATTGCCTACAGAATTGATTTTTTGGACTTTTTAAAACGCAATCCCGACAGAATTATAATAATAAGAATTTGATGTCTCATTGATATCTTGGAGGAAGCTGGGGTGGATCTCGTTTTCGCGTGGAAAGTCGCGCTCCTAAGTAAGGAGGAGAGGAGGTGAGATGGATCTCACTTTGCGTGGAAAGTCATTTGCCCCTATAGGCAGAGAGAGAGGTGAGATAGATCTCGCTTCGCGTGGAAAGGAATAACTTTTTAACGGATAACGAGGATGACTAAACCTGTTGGGTTGTGTTCAGATTTCCATCCGAATACTACCCAGGTGTTTTTTTATCCTTGTTCACCGAATGTGAAACAAAAATAACATGATGCCTGGAACGCACTCGGATGGGAATTTGAATGCGCCCTTGGAGGTCAGTTAGGGTCATGATCTCGACATGTTAAGGTGATTGAAATCGGCGAAATTGTCCATTTTCTAAAGTTTTACTGAAACATTTTTTTAATCATATTTTTTTCGTATGTATTATATAAAATATAATGCTACTATTTATTTAAACAGAAAATTGGATTAATTAATTTTAGAACTTTTTAAGTATACATTTTAATGTTGCTGCAATATTTCAAAAATGGACATTTTATCGTTTTTTGCAATGTTAAAACAACTATTTGCAATTATATTTCTGCAACGTTGCAATCTTGCAAAAAAAGATTTCTACAACATTACTGCAATCTTTCCATGCTGCATGAGCTGATTGAAACCATTAATTTCCCCTACAAAAAAAAAAACAAATTTTCGCATTTTCGTACGGTATTATTTACTACCTGATTCGCGTTTGTCTCACACAATCTTTCTCTTCGATTAATCAATCTTCAGTTTTAGCTCCTCAAACCATAGGATGTATATATTCACATATGTATTACGCACAATGCCATCGAAATCGGGCTAATTCACAGTCAATCGCCGTGATGCATAACGTAGCTTTGACAGACACAGCAGTTTGCGGTATTCTACATGGCTGTAAACACCGTTATGATTTCTAACAAATGTTATTCTTCGGTGGCCGGCTGGCCAGTGGGGTCGGTCGGTGCGAAGATTCTGAATTATTCTGACATGTTTGCAATCGGATAACTTTGTGGGATTGCGAGATACGCACTCTTAACGCGAATCATTAACACGTATGATATGTTGCATTATGATATGATACGGTGCACGCGTTTTACAGTATAGCGGCTGACCTGCTTTCAATAAGCGCTAATGAGAAATATTTTTCTTCGCTTATGATTTTAATGCGCTGTACCGTTTACTCTATCACTCTTTGATTTCTGCATTTTTCTTTTTTGCTTACGTGTATATTATATATACTAATATCTCATGTGTGTGCCTTCATCGTGTCATTTCTCACATAAAATAAGTAATATTACAGACATATTTTAATATATCAAAAATATTACAAAAAAATATTACAAAAGATTACTGATATACTATATCTTGATAAATAGATAACAGATTATTACATCTTGATAAATAATATTGAAATATTAGAATAATATTGTTGTAATGTAATGTCCTAAGTAGTAGGGTGACATTAATTAAATAACGTTTTTATGACGTCTTATTGACGTCTTAGAGACGTCATAAAGAAGGTATTAAGATTTCATAAAATTATAAGTATACATATATTATATATAGAATTAAGGCAGCTATACGAGTAGTTTATGGAATCATTTTAAAATCAAAATAATTATTTGCTCTTAATATAAAATAAATGTATATTAGGACTTTATATAATGTATACATTCATACGTATGTCAGGGTGTCTCGTAAGTTTTTGCCAACCGCTTTTGTATAGAGTCGAAAAATCCTTTACCATTTTACAATTTTCGCAATAGTTAATAAAATATTAATTACTAAAAATTGCCGAATATTGATCTTGAATAATTTTTTTATTCAAATATTGTACTATCAACTTTACAGAAAAACTGCAAGAGACAAAAATCATTTATTTTCTTCTACAATGAAATATTATGATACCATAGATAATAGATTAAAGAAACTAAAACATAATCTAGATAATAGAATGTTTTTTTTTAATTCAATAGAGGATATCATAACCAATCTATGAATGATTTATCTGTCAAATTGTTGCACTTGAGAAAAAACTTATCAACGGATAAGAATCCTTAATGATTAAGCTTAACTTATGCTATCTCGGCAAATTCGTAAGGTTTTGTCCTTTTAATCCTGCGTAAATCATGAAGTAGAAAGTACTGATTCAATTTCAATGTTTTCGTGTTCTATAAGACGCTGATTATGCTTAGTAGCATTTTTTTTATTTTATCTACAACAATGTGTAGATCACGATGTAGAATATGGTTTCGTATGTATCATGGTGCATTAACTATTCCACGAAGTACTTTAGTCTGAAAAGTTTGTATTATTTTTATATTAGACATTTTTTGTACAGCCCCATAATTGGATGCATCGAAACAGGTTTAAGTATCTGGTGATAAATTAGTAATTTGTTCTGTGTTAACAATTCAGAATTCCGACCGATAAGCCAATACATTTTTCGGTATTTAATATTGAGTTCTTCTTTTTTCTTCTTTTTCACATGTTCTTTCCATTTTAACTTTGCGTCCAAGATCATGCCTAGATACTTAGCCGCGTTAGCGTATGATACAATTTTGTTAGAATTGGCCTAATTTCATTTTTCTGTATGTAAAGTTGATGTGATTAGATTTTTGCTCATTTAACTTAATGTGCCAGTGTTTAGTTCAATCATTTATTTCATTCAATGCTTATTGAAGTTTGCCTATCGCGTTATTTATATTATCATCAACTGCCAATACTACGGTATCATCGGCAAATGTGGCCAACAGTGTTTGTTCTGTTACGAGGAATATTACTGATGTATTGTACAATAAGTAAAGCATAAGGCCAAGGACACTTCTCTGTGGCACTCTCGCTGCAATTTGTTTTAGATCCGAGTACTCTTTACCATGGCGTATTTTGAAACATTTTCCTTTGATATGACTTAAGTATCTCAAATTATTGTCTTGGCAAATCCTTATGCAGTTTAAATTTTAAGCCCTCATGCCATACTTTGTCAAAGGCTTGTGCGACATCGAGAAAGCTGCTGCACAGATTTTCTTCTTTTCCAATGCTTTTTCTACGTTTGTAATGCGGTACACTTATTCTATTGTAGTATGTTTGCTTCTGAACCCGAATTGGTGATGCGGAGTTAGCTGTCTTTCTCGTATTAATGGTATAAGAACACTTTTTAAGAACAGTTTCTCGAGAATCTTAGATAAGATGAGTAATAATGATATCTCTATAGATATATAAATGTAATTTTATTTGGCGGTTTCCCTGGTTTCGGGATTACAATTACCTCAATTATTTTTCAGTGTCGACAAACATATTTTTGCATAAAACATGCATTTATGATTATACTGTACATTGCAGCTTGCGTATTGCTAAATCGGAAAGTCTTTTATAATCTGTCCTGTAATGAGGTCATACCCTGGTGCTTTTTTTTGTACTGAGATTACAATTAATTAAATTTTTAAGTTCTTTTAGAATAACAAGGGGAATTTCTTCTTTGTCTCCTTTATTAACAAATTTTAAATTTTCCTTATTACTGATCCCTGGGAATGGTGTGAAGACATTTGCCAGATGTTCCGCAAAAAGATCAGCTTTTTGCTTTAAATTTCTCGCCCATTTGCCATTTACATGTTTCAGCGGATTATGAATCCTTGTTTTTTTAAGCCTCCTGGTTGCTTTCCATAGTGAATATTCTGTACTTTTTTCTACTGTCAAGTTACTAAGGTATTTGTTTATTGATTCATTTTTTAAATCCTATATCTGTCTCTTCAGAAAATTACTCAGTCGTTTAACTTATTCTTTTCATCTGGATGTCTGGATTGTTGCCATCTTCTGCGTGCTCATCTTTTTGCTATGATCAGTTCTTCTATTAGATATAGTAGAATAAATATATCATTTACTTAGTTGATTTATATAAATATATTGTGTTTACAGATACTCTTTTTTTACATAAAATTTTTTATTAATTTCTTTGTTAGCTGTATAAAATGTGAAAAGATGTTCTGCTATTGTATTATATGTATACTATACTTATATGTCTGTATGTACATGTGTGCATGCATGTATGTATAATATATACAGAGATGTATCCAAGGTATGGCAGGCATGGCACGAGTCCTGGACGTCACTTGAAGGAAGATGTCAAATCGCGCAAAGTAGTTTTTATTAACTCAGTACGATCCAATATATTTCCTCAAACATGGTATACATCATGAATCAAAATATCTGACAATCGAATTTTATATCTAAATTTTTGTGAAAAATATTGTTTTCTTCATTAAAATAATAAATATTTTATTTATACAATTTTTTTTATTCACTAAAAGACAATTATAATTACACTCTACATAATTTGAAATTTTTTATTAAAATATTTATTTCAAAATGTTAATGTCACAAAAATTATAAATTATAAATATAAAATCTTCATGACAATTTAATTGATAAGAGCCAAGTTTATTTGTTTTGCAATGTAAAAGACAAGTTAAAGTTTAATAATTATTTAAGTCAATTATTTTGTTTAAAATAAATATTTTTCTGTGCAAATCTTTGTGTGCAAATTTTCTCGTAAAATTACCTTCCATCTTTTCATACTACTTTTTTTCTTAATAACAATAAACTTTTGTCTGAAAGAATTAACTTTGAACAGATCATATGAGCAATTTGCAACAATAAAAGCAAGGAAGGTGCAGTTACAATTTTTAGTCATAATGTGAGTAAATATAATGTAATTCAAATAAATAAAAAATAAATGTACTTGACTTTGTGAGTCGATCATACACCGACGACGAGATACTTTTAAAGACCGACATCCTTACGAGAGTTCGCGTTCTGGTAAATATTGAAGTAACTGAAAAAGAAAAACTGATAATATTGTACTAATTTTATAATTTATTAATTAAATAGACGTATTTATGCATTTAGAACTCAATAATACTCGATTTCTTTTTAAAATTGTGATTTCAGTGTATCGTCAAAGTTTATCAACAGAGATGATAGCTGCAGAGAAAAAATTGTAATTTTTCTGCAATATATAGGATATTATAGCTTTACAAGTACGCATATTTATTTATGGAATAAAAAATCATGAATTTAATAATGTATGAGCCAAATATTTGTGTTAATAATAGCAAATTTATATCAATTGTCGATAATAGTTAGCGTTCTTCAATTACCTCCGGGGCCCTTTTCAATTACCCTTGGAGCCCTTTTATATATCCGAAAATTTGAGTCTTTAAAGAAATCGAATCATCCTACTTTACCATCATTTCTACATGGTAAAAAATCATGGTAAATCGATTTGGATTTACGGATTGCAAAATTGTTATTTTATAAATTAAAATACGCACAAACAGGACTTCTCAGTTGCATATCAGCTGAATATCATGAGAAAATAAAAAAAAAGTTAAAAAATTCACTAACTTTTAGCCATATGCAGTAATAAGGAGATTAAACTCGAAATCTGAAAGTGGGGTTGAACCACGGTGTAGGAAAACCCATAGAAAATCCGACAGATGTGATTTTAGTGCCATCACGCCTTGCGAGAAAAATTAGAAGTATTGACTGTCATGTGGTCACAGGTTACATGTATGTACATATGTAGTAGTAGATACACTAAAATCACTGCCGAATTTTTCATGGGTTTTCCTATACCGTTTCAAGCCCACTTTTTTCGAAACCAACCGCTTGAGTTTGATCTTCTTATTAGATCTTCTTCTCCGTGTTTTTGGCTCGTACAGCTATCACCTCGCATATATATTTGATATAAGACTTAAAGTTCATATAACCTAACCTAACCTAAACTTAATATTTAATATTTTATTTATTGTTAATCAGTCCTTTATTTTGATTAATAATGAGAAAATAAAAGTCTACAATAAGAAATACATATATAAATAAATTAATACATATTTTCTCACTTTTATATATTATCTTTTTTCCATTCCTCTATCCATTCAAGTATTCTATCTACATTAATTGGCATGTCTTCTGGAACATTGTTCGTTAGTTCATGCACTATTTCTGAGTCAAACGAGTCTTGTGTTTCTTGGATAACAATTATAAAAAATTCAGCTCCTACATTGCTATTTGGTTTGTTCTTGGCCTTTTTTTCTGTCTTCTGTCTTTTATGTAGACGGTCGTCTAAAATAGTATCGTTTGCTCTAAGCACAAACACAGCATCAAACCAATTTGGAGGAAACAAGTCGGCCCTCTGATAGTCCACGATTTGTCCTCCTTCTTTCATCCAATTCTCCATAAGTTTCACTAACTAGAAAGAAAGATATTGCAAACAAAAATTTGTATGTTTAAATGTGATCTAGACGACATAATCTACAGAAAATATTTCATAATTTTAATTCAATCAAACTTGTTGGCCAATTTTAAACAATTTTACATTGTATGGATCATCAATAATCCACAATGATTTTATTTGTCCATTATATTTATTAAATAACATATTTTATGATTTAAAAAACTACAAAAATTGTAATTATTAAGAATAAAGCTAATGTTCGTATTATACTAACAACAGACAATTGTATTATGTTTTTATTGACCTTTCTCCGATCAGTAAACATACAGGTCGTGCTCCAATATGCACTATCAGTACTGAAAAATCTACAGTTCACGTTACGTATACTATAGATTTTCAGTATTAACAGTGTATATTGGAACACGACCCGTATGTTTACTGATCGGAGGAAGGTCGATAGAAGTCGGTATAATTTTGAAACAGAATTAATCAGGCATGGAAAAATGTCATTGTTGAATTTGGAGAATCTGTTATGAAAGTAATTAACTCGATTGTAGTTGGATGGTTCTTGTATTCTGACCTAGTTCAAATCTATGGTGGAAACTGGGCCTATGGCTATAAGAATAATTACCATGTTCCCGTCTAATATGCTGCATTGTAACTCTTCGACATACTCGCTCACACATCCAGTATCAATAGCTACTTTACTGACGTCGATCCAGTTTAATTCAGTATCTTCCTCCAACAAATTCGCCAACGTGCTCTTGCCTATGCCAGGTGGGCCTAAAAAACATTGACAACAATTATTAAGGGTATTTGGAATTTATACTGAATAACGCTATCACATACCACATATTAAAATGTTAGGTAAGCTCCTACGCGTGTTCATCTTGTAGAAATACAAATGTAACAACAATCAGAATGATGCTAATTTTTTTCTTTCTTTATTAATGGCCCTGCCGAATTGACCGTTGTTGACTGTGTCCTAATAACAGCGATGAAAGATATAAGAAATAACACGAGATTTGTTTGGCACGAATTTTGTACTCGCTCAATATATTCAAATCGCATGATTTGTTGCGTCACATGCTCCAACATGCTCCTACTTTTTCCAGCTCCTTTTTCCGCTGTTGTTAGTATATTCTTCTAGATCTAGAATTCTGATTGGATGAGCTAAAAGAATGTACCAATAACAACGAGCGCTCACTCAACTGTTGAGTCCGCTGGACCCAGCCATTGGGTGCATCTAGAAGCGATGACCGCTCACTGAGCGCTCAGTAAGCTCTTGCATCTGATTGGTATATTCCGTTAGTACTAAAAATATAGACCAAACAGGTCACAAAAGCTCACTGAGCGCTCAGTGAACGATCGTGTTTCTGGATACACTTATTGTAGATCCGGGCTTACATAATCGATATTCAGTTCTATAAAAAACGCTGCAGTATACGCTTTTTACACTAGTTCAGAAAGTTCAGTTCAGCGATAACGAACAAACCTCGCAAAACAGTTGGAAAGCTGTTTTGTCTGCTGAACGCAGCCATAGCTTCGGGCGCGGGGCGCCTCATGTCGCGGGTTAACAACAATCGGCGAGACGCGGTTAGACACGGCCGTGAGAGTGAACGTCAATAAAATTACGTTTGGCATTCACGCTTTTACTGTTTATAACCGTCTTCGTGCAGTACATCGTGTGTTTAATCCCCGACGATGAGCGCCGAGGAAGAAGTGCTGCGTATCCAGAAAAAGCTCAACAAAATGTCGAGTGGTGACGGGACGGTGAGTAATAAGTGAGTAAAATAAAGATCGCTGTATACTGGTCGAGATGCGCGCGCGCGTTAAGAGAAGTCTTTTAACGCTAGGAGAGCGCGCTTCATCTTTCAGTGATTCCGAGCATACGATTTCCAAATGCACAAAAAGCCGCGAACATTCATGAACTTCTTGCACGGTTTATCTTTTCTCTCCAACGAGGAGAGAAAAGGAAGAAAGATAAACCGTGCAAGAACTTTAGCTAAAAAGAACAGACCTATAATTGCTAAGATATCATGGAAGCTTCGCTTGTTTATCCATGGAACACTGTTGCATGGCATTCTATATATTATTTCAATTAAAAATAAAGTCTTAAAAGGCTTTAATTTGATTCTTACATTGTGTAATTTTCATTATCTTTTAATGTTTACTTTTATTGCAAAATAATTTTTATGAATGTATTTTTGTTATAATTAGACTAAATTGTTAAAAAGTATAATCTTGTTATATGATTATTTTCGTTTTCCATGATTATTTATGAAAAAAAATGTCAATTCATATCAATGTTGATGTCAGTATTAAAGTTATATTAAACAAAAATTATTTTACAATAGCTATAATAGGCCTATTCTTTGTCATTGTACTTGATGGCACTAAAATATTCTATCTTGCTTTTGTCAAACTTTAAATGTATATCTATTTTATTTTATTTACAAGTGTATACTAGTTATAAAAAACAAATCCAACATTTCGGTCAATCAGGGTCAAGAACAGGCTTTGGAATTACTTAAGATACTTCAAAAATTACCTGTTGACTTGGAGCTTTTGACTAAGACACGCATTGGAATGACTGTGAATGCCTTGAGAAAATCAAGTAGGGATGAGGAAGTTATTTCTTTATCAAAGACTCTTATTAAGAATTGGAAAAAGTTTCTATCAGGTATGTATATAATGATACTAAATATAATTAATTTTCATGTAGATATCATTAATAATTTTATATGCACAATTTAATTCTATTGTAATTTATTTGGTATTAGGATCGAATAAAGAGAAAGATTCAACATCGTCAAGTAGTTCAAAAAAGAAGGATGAGAAGCCAGATAAAGCAAAGGAAGAGAGCGATCACAAAAAAGAAAAAGATATTATGGATGTCGATGTAAAAGTGAAGGAAGAAAAACCTTTCAAAGACATTCAAAGGAAACAGTCGTCTTTTCCTCCTCCTACCACAACAGATGCAGTTAGATTAAAATGCAGAGAACTACTAGCGTCAGCTTTACATGTTGATGGAAAAGTTATCGATGGTTGTGCCAGTCCAGAAGAGTTAGCAGAAGAATTGGAAGAAGCAATCTATGCAGAATTTAAAAATACTGATAACAGATACAAAAATAGGGTAATTAAACATATTATTTTATTTTATATAGAAAAACTTTTTCTGCCTGAGTAGTCTAAATGTTTAAGACGCTTGCGCGGAATACTAGAGATCAGGGTTTGATCTACATTTCATTTTGAAGGGAAAAGATAGGATTTTTATGAAAAAAATGTTGCTTTGGTCAAATATTAATTTTAAATATTTTTAGAGTTAAAGACTTTCTTTGCCTTCTTATTGTGTGTTTACATGTATGATCCTAGAAACTCTTTGTTTAAAACTTTTTTCTTATGTACACTGCTGCCCAATTAAATTGCAGCAATGGAAAAAACTCGTATTGAACTGAAATTTATAAAATGGATAGTGGAATATAAAAATGAGCTGTACTTATAAGAAACATACGTTATACTTCTAAATTCCATATATCCCATACATTATAAACAATGTTTCATATAAATATCATTTTAATATCGTGTATTTTTGATATTGCAATTTAATAGCTGCCAGTATATAATGTAAATTTATGTCAAATTGCATTAATATATTTATAATTTTATATATTTGAATACAGGTTCGCAGCAGAGTTGCCAATTTGCGCGATGTAAAGAATCCTAATCTCCGGACGAACTTTTTGGTAGGTGCGATCACGCCCGCTAGGTTAGCGGTAATGACGGCAGAAGAAATGGCAAGTGACGAGATTAAACAACTACGTGAGCAATTCAAGAAAGAGGCCATCAATGACGCACAACTTGCCACTGTGCAGGGAACCAAGACCGATTTGCTCAAATGTGGTAAATGCAAGAAGCGCAACTGCACGTACAATCAGGTGCAAACGCGTTCTGCCGACGAACCGATGACTACTTTCGTGTTGTGTAATGAGTGTGGAAATCGATGGAAGTTCTGTTAAGCTATTGTTTCTTGATCTATATTGTCGTGACAAAATGTATATTTTAATCAGCTTGAAATTCACTATTTATAAGTTGAATTAAACATCATGATATATATTGCGATTTTTTATTGTCGCATTATAAAAAAGGGAATTTTTTTCTCTTCAATTAACTGAATATAATTTTCGTATCTTTCAAATATCGTTAACTTTTTTTATCAAAAAATCATGAAATTACTCGCAACTTAATAATAATCTATAAAGATTTTATGATGTATCTGTTGTAAATTGCACACAAATTTTCTAGATTTTTTTTTTATTGGAAACAATCAAATTTTCTTTTGGTCAATATATATATATATAAAACTAAATTACGCAGACTGTAAACAGCAGAGTATATACATTGTACATTGATTCATAAAGCATAGTGACATTCTCGAAGAATATGTTCCATAGCGTTGTATTTATTGAAACTGCTCAATTAGATCAGAGCTTTGTGAAAATCTGAATGCTTCCCTAAAGTGGGAATATCTAATACAGGGTATCTCATAGGCATTGTTAAAACGAATCAGCTGTATTCATTTTTAAACGAATTAATTGTATTCATTTTTTAACACAGGACATTTGAATTAAGGAATAGGAAAAATAAAATATTTTTTAATACAGGACATTTGACAGTTTCATTTATATAGAAAGTAAAGACAATCGGAAACATTTGTATCATTTGTGTCAAATGTTTATACGAATACTGAATTTTGTCGCTCTTAATGATATATAATAGTATGTATTTCAGAAATTTAAAAACTAACATCTCTTTTGGCAAAAAAAAAATATTTTTAAATTCCTGAAATATATATTATTAAGAATTTAGCATTTCGAAAATAAGATTGACGATATATTTGATGTTTTTCAATTAAATAATGCAAATTTTTTCCGCTCGTCTTTACTTCCTATGTAAATGAAACAGATAAATGTCCTCTAATAAAAAGAAAGTATTTTCTTTTTCTTATTCCCTATATGCATTTAAAAATGATAGCTGATTAGTTTTAATGACTTCCCATGGAATACACTGTACATATATATCTTTTAAGATACAGACATAAACAATTTTACTTGATGCGCTTTTATTCTAACTGCGGTTACTATCATGCTAAGCGATTTTGACTGTAATCTATCATCATTGTAAGTTTTCAATTATTCGCATAATAGTATGATATAAGTAGATTATTTTGTCACTGTGCTGAAAAATTCGAATGTCTATAAGCGCTATAATAAATTGTCTCTACAAGTCTCTATATAAGAAATATACAGATACAATACTATCATTTGATTTTTTTAAAATTACCTTTCTATATAATTCAATAATTACTGTAAGCATATTTGTGAACTTAAGGGGATGATTCTAAAATAAATTTCAATGAGATCTTTGTTTTACCAATAAAATGCGAAACATTAACATACGTATCTTTATATATTATTACGTCAATGGTTGCGTTCAATAGAGTAGACTTGAGTGCCTGAGTGAGTTCCTTGTGGTTCTTTTGCTTTAAAAGAAAGTCTTGCTTAAAGTCAAAGTAACGTTGATGCAACCGAACTTAAAGTAGGTACATTCGGGGAAATGCTATTTGTGTCATTCTATTCTTGTTTTAATAATAATAAATAATGAAATTAGAATGACACACAAATAGCTTACTTGACGCATTTCTGCATGAAACAAAAGAATTTGGCACTTGCCCTGTTTTGCTCCGAGAACCGAGATGTTAACCAATCGGAAGATTTTTCTATTGTGTTTTGTAGGGAAAACTGAATAACTCCGATCAGAATTCATACCGACATGTTCCATAACAGGTATTCCGGTATTCCATTCCCGTGGATGCGCAGTCGTTCTTGGACCCAAAAAAGTAGATTTGTACCTAGGTCATATTCGTATATTACTACCAGTTGACCAGTTGACTGCCAGTACTGAAAATAGTTTCTATTACATATACATGTACTATACTGTATTGACAATCGGCAGAAATATACGAAAATGGCCCTTCTTAACATCCACTTCTGCAAAGAGTGGTGCACAAGACATTTTGCGGTACAAGCAAAAAAAAGGCCGTCTCTCTCTCTCACTCATACACGTCCTCTTTCTCTCTCAGATTTTTTCGCTA